AGATCTCCCCTGGGAAGGGGCTGAGTGGGCTCTTCAAGCTACTTTTCAGGATTTCAGAAGCCTTGGGACTTCCTTGGCTGGCCCAGTGGTTAAGACTCTGCATTTCCATTTCAGGGGGCATGGGTTTGATCCCTAGTTGGGGAACTAAGATCCTTCATGCAGGGCAGCCAAAAAAAAGAAAGAAAGAAAAGAAAAAGGGACAGAGAGAAGGAGAGAAAAGGGGAGGGGGAAGCCTAATAGGTTAAGTCTAGCCTGAGTAATCCAAATGTATTCGGTATGTGCTTTGGGTTGGAATGAAATCAGCTCTGTGTGGTAACGGTTATGCAGTCTCATGAGAGTTATGTGTCCTAGTTAACAAAATAGAGTCGATAGTATGTCTTGCTCCCAGCACCCAGTGGAGAAAGGCTGGGACATGAAAATGTCTTCAGGATCTTAAAAGAAATGACAAAGTAGCTTCCCTTCCAAGAAGCTTCCCAGGGGACCTGAGGGCAGGAAATGAGTGAAGAGGCAGGTGTGGTGCTGCCGCCCCCTGGTGGTATATTGAAAGCATAGCACTTGGAACCAGAGGTGATGGACAGAAGCCGGGGAACGGGGCGACAGAGGATATGGTTGGATGGCATCACCAACTCAATGGACATGAGTTTGAGCAAGTTCCAGGAGTTGGTGAAGGACAGGGAAGCCTGGTGTGCTGCACTCCATGGGGTCTCAAAGAGTCAGACTCGACAGCGACTGAAGAAATGGACAGAGAAGGACTTGGCTCAGTGGTAAAGGATCTGCTTGCCAAAGCAGGAGACTTGGTTTGAGTCCCGGGGTTGGGAAGATCACTGGGAGAAGGAAATGGCAACTCCCTCCAGTATTCTTGCCTGGAGAATCCCATGAACAAAGGAGCCTGGGGGGCTGAAATCCATGGGGTCGCAAAGTCGGACACAACTGAGCAAGTAAACGCATTCACACACAAAACCATAGATGGAAGAGGAAGAGGAACACAGATCTTCTAAAATCACAGACTGGTCATTGCCCTGGAAGGTTGTGCTGCAGAGCTGGGTGGAGGAAGGGTATGGGTGCCTTACTCAATGCCTGTGGCCCCTTTCCCATCCCGTTCTATAAAGGCTTGTGAGTCGAGCAGGGACATGGGATGCTAAGTGCTGGCTCGGGAGCCTGGGCGGGGCAGCATGGCCACGCAGTGAGCGGTGGTAGGAGGGTGGGGCACACTGGCGGCTCTGCCTGCCTGCCCGTCTTTAGCTGGCTGACTCCTGAATGGGCCTTGGGGTTACCAGGGAAACTGGGGACCGTCACAGATTTATTTGCAGCCCCTGGAAACTTCTGAAATGTCTGTCCTTCCTCTGGTGGTTTATTGTTATGAGTCACCCTCCGATAGAAAGGGGAAAAAGTGCATGAAAACTCGGTAGGACAAGAAGGACGCTCACGTTTATGACTGCATGTGTGGGCTCAGTTGTGTACAACTGTCTGCGACCCCAGGCTCCGCCATCCATGGGACTCTCCAGGCATGAAGACTGGAGCAGGTTGCCATTTCCTTCTCCAGGGGATCTTCCCAACCCAGGGATTGAACCCGGGTCTCCTGTGTCTCCTGCACTGGAAGGCAAAGTCTTAACCGCTGGGCCACCAGGGAAGTTCCAGAGGATTGTTTTTCTGCTCATTTTACAGATAAGGCAACTGCGGCTCAGCCAGGTAAACTGACAGGCTTAAGATAAAATAGAAAGCCCCAGAAGCAAAGCGTGGGCCCCGTGCTTTAGAGACACGGGCCTTAGAGACACGGCCCACCTCGCTAAGCTCTGTGGCCAGTCATGGAGTGGGCACTTCAGTGCTTACACCCGGCCTGGAGCCTCCTGCCTGGGTCCAAGCACGGGCTCTGCTCTTCGATGGCTGAGGGTTGTCGTAACATCTTTAAGCCAGCTTCCCCGTCTGTGCCCAGAAGGCTGTGGCCAGGGCAGGTGCCCGCAGTGCAGGGACCAGCCCATGGAACTGCAAGACAACCCATCCCAGGCAGCAAGGTCAGGGCTCCCTGCCTGGATTGCGTCGGGACCCTGGCAGTCTGGGAGCCTACAGCCTGCGGTGTATCTGGTGGTAGAACGGGGCTCCTGCTGTCAGTCCCCCTGGTTATTGATGAGATTCCCATCAGCCAAATCTGGTGACTCATGGAGGATCAGGTCTGTGTTCACAGTGGAGGTGACGTCACATGGCTTGGGATCTGGCCCTTGAAGCGCTGCCAGATGCTCAGAACCTCCATCCCTGAGTCGGGGCTTCCCTGGTGGCTCAGTCAGTCAAGAATCTGCCTCCAACGCAGGAGACCTGGCTTTGATCCCTGGAGAAGCGAATGGCAGCCCACTCCAGTATTCTTGCCTGGAGAATCCCATGGACAGAGCAGCCTGGTGGGCTATGGTCTGTGGGGTTGCAGAGTCAGACACAACTGAGCAACTCACACTTGCATTTTTGACTTCTTTCACTTCTCCTCCCCGGAAGCTTCTCATTGCCCTTCCCCTGGCATAATCTGCACTGAGTTTAGGTTTTTGAAACTACAACCAAGAAAGGAAGATGTCTTCAGGCAAATTCTGCTTCTGGCCTGTGACCTGCACCCTCTAGCCAAGGGGATATGCAGAAATGATTTCTTAAGAACTAGAAGAAAAAAACCTGGGAACGAAACACAGTGGCACCTCAAGGAGTTACCCTGCCTCACAGCTCTGTATACAGGCTGGAGGGCTGGAGCTTCTCACAGAGGCTTCCCAGCCGTGGGCCCTTCTTCCTGACTCGGCTTTCAGGGGCCGTACACTGGGATCTTGGACAATTCAGGGAATGTTAAACATTTACCAGCTCATCTCCGGGCAGCAGCCGTGGCTAACAGCAGCAGGGATGGGAGAGGCTGGATGAGAGTCAGGATAAAGCCAGCAAGAATCGCTCTCCTTTGTCAAGTTTATTTTATTAAAATATACAGGACTGAATACTGGTGGGCGCTGAGAACAGGCACCACCCTCCTCGGCTGTGCCCAAGGGAGACACTTCTGCCATGCAGACATGCGGCCAGCCCGCGTCCCAGCGTGGGAGGCAGACCCCTCCAGGGGCATGTGCAGCCCGTCTGGCCCAAGGCCAAGGTGCGGAGGGCAGAGCGTGGTGGCCGTGACCCTCTGCTTTGGCCTCGGGCCCTCAGAAGCAAAGCCACGCCAGCGGGGAGGGCTGGGCTGAGGGCCGGGAGGAGATCCCTGAGCCAGGGAACGCTGATGTCCTCCTCCCCGGGGAGGGGGAGGGAGCCCCATTCAGACTGGAGGTGGGGTGTCAGTGCAACTCCAAGGGGGGCCGCCCATGTGTGGTGCCCAGGGGTCCCCGCGGCCGAGCCAGCCCATCTCCACGGCCTCCGCCGCCCCGTCCTTCCTCCCAGGTCCCCTCTCATCTTCAGGCCAGGCCCGGGCAGAGACGGGGGCGGCAGCCGATGGAATGTATGATCGGAACGTTCCTGGGACTGGCCGTGGGCCCGAGGCTCCGCCCCTCCCGGGCGGCCTGGGCGCGGGTGCGCAGCCCCGCTCCCGCTCCTGTGGGCTTCTGGGTGTGAGGCTGCGCCCCTCCCGGGCGGCCTGGGCTTGGGGGCGCAGCCCCGCTCCGCTGGCTTCTGCTGACCTGCCCCTCGGCCCCGCGCCCCCTAGCGGCGCTGGGCTCCGGCCGACACCAGCCTCCGTCCTCAGGGCAGGACCCGGCCAAGCAGAAGAATCCCAGGGGCTTGTGCTTTTGAAAGTTGGTGAGCTGGGCTGGGCTTGGGGAGTCGGGGGTGGGTCTCCCCCGGTGGGCCCCCCCGCACACACACTGCTCGGAGGCACAGAACGACCCCCCCAGAACCCCGGCGGCCTCTTGATGCCGGCCGGTGGGGCCCAAGCCTCAGCCCACCAGTAGGCCTGGCCCTGAAAAGCAGACTGTCTGGGCTCCCCTCGTGGGCTGCAGCCTGAGCTTCTGGGGACGCTTGTGCTTTGTGCATGGGGCTGGGGTGAGCCTGTGTGCGGAGGGGAGGCCACATGGCTCCAGGACCCTAACCACGAAGAGGGGGGCTCATCCAAGCTGGGGGGCAAGGGAGCTGGGGGCCAACAGGAGAGAGAAGCCGCTTCCCAGGCCTGCTTGGCCCCCCTGGGCGCCCTGGCTGCCAGGCCCTGAGCCCTGGGGCCTCCTCAGGACCCCTGAATAATTACCTGGGTACCTGAGGGCTGTGGGCAGCGACTCCTGCTGTGCCCTCACTGAGCCAGCTGGGGCGAGGGAGGCGGCGTTGGCAGAGAGGTCCCGTCAGATTCCAAGAAACCCAGTCCCCAGACTGGACGCCCCCTTACTGGGTGGGGGAGAGCAGTGCCCGCTGGTGCGTCCCCACTGGGGCTCACAGCAGCTCAGTGGACGGCGGGTGTCCTGACACCCAGGGGAGCGTTTCCAGGAAGCAGCAGGCTCTAAGTGCCACCTCTTTCCTGGTCTGAATTCCCTTGACCCTGCGCTGCCCCTCTGGGGTCCTGAGCTGAGAGCCATTCTGGAAGGGTCGTCGGTGGGCAGGGAGTGGCTGGGGGACAAGCAGGTCGGAGCAGCCCCCGGGGCCTGGCAGGTGAGTGTGGTGGGAAAGAAGGGCGGCAGAAGGGAGGGCTGGGCAAGTGGGCTCACAGGGCTGTGGCCTTAGCTGTGGAGGCTGGACCCTCACCTGTAGATGACCCAGTGGCTGGCGGCCTGAAGACGCCTCTCTTTCAGCTGTCCACCCAGAGGCCTGGGGGCGGGTGCTGGGAGCTGTGTGGCTCTCGTGTCCCGGACTCAGCTCCCAGCCAGACCCGGCCCCTTTCTCACCTCTGTCCCCCCACCTGCCAGCCCAGATGAAGGGTGTGTGTGTATGTCGGGGGGGGGGTATTTGTGTGTGTGTGTGTAGCAAACTATTCACTTTGTGCAAATATATTAGAAAAAAGTTTCTCATGGAGGTTGCTCCTGGCAGGACTGAGGTTTCTTTGACCCCTCCACCTTCCCCACGCACGAGTCCTAGATGACGTTCTCGAACAGCTGCATGGAGCTCATGATGTTCTCGTCCTGCGTGGAGAGAGAGGACGAGGCCTGGTCAGCCCTGGGCGGGTGGGGCCCATATCCAGCCTCGCCGTGCTCAAAGTCTCATTAGGCACCTGCGACCTTCCAGGAACTCTGCCCGTCTTATTGGACGAAGGACGAGCTGGTGACGCAGAGCCCGTCTCCAGCTCCAGGGTCTGACAGCCAGTCCGTCTGGGAGCTGTTAACCACTGATGGACAACCGCCACCCACCCAGGTGCAGGCCAGGGTAACCGGGGGGAGGGAGGCAGGTGGAGGCCCAGCGTCCTGCCCCCTGAAAGCGCTCTGCTGAGGACGGTCAGCCGCAAGGCCGGGGTGGGGGGTACTGCAGGCTCCTTCCCACAGCGTGACCCGGTCCTCAGGGCCCCACATCTGTCCCCTCTGATGGGGGCCGCTGAGGGCAGAGCTGCGGGACGTGGCCTGGCTAGGCTGTGGGCTCCGGTGAAACAGTGCAGGAGGATGTCGGAAGCCTGAGCTGAGGAGGGCACTGGCAGGGGCGGGACCCAGGGGTTCCCGAGCCTTGATGCTGCCTACCTTCTGACAGGTCTCCAGGAACTCGTCGATGGTCACCACCCCATCCTGATTCCGGTCCATTTTCTGCAACGCAAGCCATGCCCTCAGTGAGGCTGTGTCCCGCTGGGGCCGCTCCCTGCCCCAGGCCTGAGGACATGGCAGTGGGTGGGTGGGAGGGTGGGCGTGCGCCCTGCACCCCAGCCCGTCCCCTCGGGCCCCTCCCGGGGATCCAGGCCACATAAAGTGCCCTTTCCTCCACCTCCACCGCACGCCAGCCACTCTGCTGTCTCCCCAGGCCGACCCCAACCTCAGCCACCTCCCAGCAGCGTTCCCGAGCTCACGCCTCCCGGAATGCACCCCGATGCTCATGGAGCCCCTCACCTCCCTGACAGGCAGCTGGGGAGGTGGAGCGGCTGAGGGCCCTCAGGAAGCGGGAGATGGAGCCTCAGTCCCCCTAGTGACCCTGACCCCCTCCCCTCGAAGAGAAATCCTTGGTGGAGATGGGGCGGCAGGGGGTGGGAGAAGCTCTCGCCAGGGGTGTCGGCTGACTGGGAATCCCTGAGCCTGACCGCTCTGAGATGAGGTTCAGCAGATGGGGGGCAAAGGGATGGTTTTAATTCATTCAGTCAGCCAGACCGGGGAGGGAAGTTGCACCTCCCGTGGGAGCAGGAAGGCTCACAGAGGGGAGCAGCGGGCCCCGAGGGTGAAAGCCCCTTCCTTCCTCTCCTGGCGGCCCTCCCCTGCGCGCTCACCTGGAAGAACCTCTCCACGTGCTCCAGCGGCGCGTCCTCTCGCAGAACGGGGTAGGTGTGGCGGCCCATCATGTCATAGATGGACTTCATGATGGCCAGCATCTCCTGCGGGGGAGTGAGGGGAGGGCGCAGGGGCTGGCATGAGCCCGGCTGCCAGGTGGGTGAGAGGGTGAGGCTGTAGGAGCCAAGACAGATAGGCTCACCCCCATCCAGTCCGCCCGGCGCAGGCTTCTGACTCTCCAGGGCGCCTGGAGATAGGTTTCTCTGTGCAAGCTCTAGAATCTGACACTATATTAAAAGTAACTATTCCATATACAAAAAGAGTGTTCCAGCCAAACACTCTTTTTTGTATATGAAATGCTTTTTTTTTTGTATATGAACAGCAACTATTCTTAACACACATAAAAGAGTGTTGGGGCCAGATGAAATTGGACGGTGGGCCTGCTGACACCCTTCCTTAAGGGACCACACTGCCCTCCCTTGATAGCTGGGAACCGAGGCCAGCTCCCCGACCCCGGCCCCCAGCTTCTCCACGCGCGCCTCCCACACGACCTCGCCGTGAGAAACAGCGACCGGGGACCTTGTTGAAGGGGATGGGGATGTGTGGTGAGGGGCACACAAGCTCCACACTCCGCACGCCCAGGCATCCAGGCCCGAGAGCCTGGGAGAGGAGGATTAGAGTTCCAGGCCGCTGTTCCCCCCGAGGGCGGGCTGGGTGCTCTGTCCTTGGACAGGGAGAGGAAACGGGACATGAGGGCAGTGAGAGGGACGAGGAAAGAGGTTGGGGGTGTGGAGCGGGCGGACAGGCTACCCTCAGCTCCCCAGACACTCCCGTACCTCTTTGGTGATGTAGCCATCCTTGTTAATGTCGTAGAGGTTAAAGGCCCACTTGAGCTTCTCATGGACTGTTCCTCGCAGCAGGATGGAGAGACCAACCACGAAGTCCTGTGGAGAAAGGGTGGTGGGTTCTATTTCCAGTTTGCCGTGTGGCCCCCACTGAAGTGCACGTCTGTGTGGGTGAGGTGCCTCCGTCACAGACCAGGGGGGTGGTGCCCATCAGGTGAGTAGAGTGTGAGTGTGTGATCGTGTGTGTGTGTGTGGTGGGGATGGCATGGTGGCTGGTACTGTTTGTCTCAAATAAAAGACATTCAAATGTTATGACTTTTGTTTTTTTTTTGCGAAGCTTTGAGATCTTAGTTCCCTGACCAGGTATCAGACTCAGGCCCTCGGCACTGAAAGCGTGGAGGTCTAACCACTGGGCACCAGGGAATTCCTAAACGTTTGCTGTGTGAGACCCATCTAGTGCATTGCCACTGACAGAGGAGGCCTGACAGAGGTGCTCCTTTCGTGAAGAGGGTGCTCTGTCCACTTTATCGAGTGTCTGCATGCCAGAGTGCTTGAAGAACCACACCCGGAAGACTAAACCAACGGCTGTGGGGTCCTGCTATACCCGTGCACGGCCACATCTGAGATGGGACAGATTATCACTAATGTGACAAGATACGAACGCTCAGATGGCTTTTGTGTGAAAACTTCAACTGTTTTGTTAGAACACTTGAGGGAAAGCAATTCTTTCCTGTCACTTCCAGAAGGTTCGAAGATAAAGCCCTTCCTGCCCCACAGGGTCTCCCAGGCTGCTCCAAAAGAAGGGGATCTGAGAGGGGCTGTCTTGAAGGTGGGAAGTCGGGGACAGCAGACTGAAGGGACAGGGCCCGCTCCAAGGGCCCCACTCAGATTTTAATGTTTATTTTTGGCTGCACCACATCCTTGTGGGATCTTAGTTTCCCCAACCAGGGGTCAAACCTGGGCCCTAGCAGTGGAAGTGTCAAGCCCTAACTGCTGGACCAACAGGGAAGTCCCTCATTCAACTTTTAGATTTTCTGGATCACAGGAAGCCTGTATCATGAGAAACAAAGACTGAGGAAAACTGAGAAAAGCAGTTTTGAAGAAATAAAAATTATTCCAGGACCAAAAAAAAAATTTTTTTTTTTTCCACAGAAACTATTAGATTCAGAGATTAGAAATCTGGCATCCTTACAATAAGAGTGGCTTCCCTGGTGGCTCAGTGGTAAAGAATCTGCCTGCAACCCACGAGATGTAGGTTTGATCCCTGTGTCAGGAAGACCCCCTGTAGGAGGAAATGGCAACCCCCTCCAGTAGAGAAGCCTGGTGGGCCACAATCCATGGGGTCTCAAAAGAGTTGGACATGACTTAGCGACCAAATAACAACAATAAGAATAGGATGCTATTAAAAAGGAACACTTGATGTCAACTACAAACTGGCACTTGCCATCCATCTTTACAAAGATTAAGTCGTGTGCTGCTGCAGCTGCTGATTTTCAACACCCCCTGAAAGGAGTTCAGGGTGGAGAGCAGAAATAAGGCACTCTGTGCTCTGGGAAAAACTGGCAGGACAGGTCTTCAGACAGTTAGGTGTATTTTCAGGAGCCAATTTTATGAGTTGTTGACTCTTGTATCTCCTTATGTCTAGAAAAGCACTAAAATCCTTTCACGGTGACTGCTCCTTGTGACTAGCAGAAAGTGAAGGTGTTAGTTACTCAGTTGTGTCCGTTTCTTTGCAGTCCCAAGGACTGTAGCCTGCCAGGCTCCTCTGTCCACGGGATTTCCCAGGCAAGAATACTGGAGTGGGTAGCCATTCCCTTCTCCAGGGATATTTCCAAGCCAGGGATAGAACCTGGGTCTCCTGCATTGCAGGCAGATTCTTTACCATCTGAGCCACCAGGGAAACCTATGACTATCAGAAACCTTCTGCAAAAAAGTATGTGCATGATTGCATGTACTCCCCTTCACCAAAATCACATATATACTGACCTTCATCAGAAACATCAACACCTTCAGATACGCAGATTATATCACTCTAATGGCAGAAAGCGAAGAGAAACTAAAGAGCCTCTTGATGAGGGTGAAGCAGGAGAGTAAAAGAGCCAGCTTAAGACTGAATAGGTTTTAAAAATTAAGATCATGGCATCCGGCCCCATTACTGCATGGCAATAGAGGGGGAAAAGGTGGAAGTAGTGACAGATTTCCTCTTCTTGGGCTCCAAAATCACCATGGACGGTGACTGCAGCCATGAAATCAGAAGACGACTGCTTCCTGGCAAGAAAATGATGACAAACATAGTGTGTTGAAAAGCAGAGACATGACTCTGCCGATAAAGGTCAGTATAGTCAAGACCATGGTCTTCCAGTGGTCACGTACAGTTGTGAGAGCTGGACCGAAAGAAAGCAGAACGCCAAAGAATCAGTGCTTTTGAACGGTGGTGCTGGAGAAGGCTCCCGAAAGTCCCTTGAACAGCAAGGAACATCAAACCATCAATCTTAACGGAGATTAACCCTGAACGTTCACTGGAAGGACTGATGCTGAAGCTGAAACCCCAGTGTTTTAGTCATCTGATGTGAACAGACAACTCTTTGGAAAAGTCCCTGATGCTGGAAAAGATCGAGGGCAGGATGAGAAGAGGGCGTCAGAGGGTGAGATGGCTGGAGATCATCACTGAGGCAATGAACACGAACTTGGGCAAGTTCCGGGAGATGGTGAGGGACAGGGAGGCCTGGCATGCTGCAGTCCATGGGGTCACAGAGTCGGACACTGGGTGACTAAACAACAACAACATCTCCTGCCTCCTTGGAGCAGTATTTCAGGGTTATCTGAAATGCTGCTTCCCTGGCTATAGTCCTCATTTTTGTTCCCAAATGAAACTTAACTCACAACTCTCAGGTTGTAGTTTATTTTTTTTTTTTTATGAGAAGCTCATGACTCAGTGCCTGCCAATACAGGAGATATGTGTTCGAGCCCTGGGTTGGGAAGATACCCAGGTGAAGGGAAGGGCAACCCACTCCAGTATTCTCGCCTAGCGAATTCCATGGACAGAGGAGCCTGGCGGGCTACAGTCCATGGGGTTGCCAAGAGTCAGATATGACTTGGATACTTAACAACAACTCAGGTTGTACATTTTTTTTTAAGTGAGCACTGGGAACAAGAAAGAGCTCTTGGGAATTAAAAATCAGAAAACAAAATGACAGACTCAGAAGAACGGTTTGAAAAGCACGTGGAATCTTCCATAAAGCAGCCTGAAAAGGCCAAACTGGAAAAGAGAAGAGAAAAGCGGATAATGAGCGGTCCACTCCAGAGGGACTGAAACTTGACCAGCAGAAGTTCCTGGAAGAGGCTGAGGAAATGGAGGGGGTGTGTCCAAGAGGGGATAAAGGGGAAGGCTGTGATTGTCCAGGTCCTACCTAACAATGAAGGCAAACAGCCCGAGGTGTGGCTGGACTATCACAGCCATCTCAGAAAATGGGTGCAAAGACAGGATCCTGTGAGATTCCAGAGAGAAAAACAAAGCCAAACCGAAACTACAGCAATCACAAAATCAGGTCCTGTACACAGGGTCAGGCATCAGTAGGAAACAGCGTCTACCAGAGCTCTGGTTCCATACAACAGGTCAAACAAGAGTGAGAACGGAATGACTCCCCTGGTGGTCCAGAGGTTAAGTCTCCACCCTGCAATGCTGGGGACACAGGTTCAATCCAGGGTCAGGGAACTAGGATCCTATATGCCGCAGAGCAACTAAGCCCACGTGCCACAGCGGAAAACCCCACGTGCCCACAACTGAGACCCAACGGGCCAAGTAAATAAATTTAACAAACAAAAAGAGGAAGGACAGAACAAAGGTACTTGCAGGTGTCTAAGGGCTCAGAAATGACCTCCCGTGTAGTCTTTTGTAGGAAATTCCTGAAAGATATGCTTCTGAAAGGAGCTCCTCTGGCGGCTCAGCGTTAAAGCATCTGCCTGCAATCCAGGAGAGGAGGGTTTGATCAGGAAAATCCCCTGGAGGAGGCCATGGCAACTCACTCCAGGATTCTGGCCTGGGAAATCCCACGGACAGAGGAACCTGATGGGCTACAGTCCATGGGGTCACAGCTGTGCTTCAGACACGACCGGAGCCCGGAGCAAATGAGCACAGCACGTCCCGTGCTTTTGCAGAGAAAGTAAAGCAAGGGGGAAGACAACCAGGAGGCCCAACCCAGGAGAGAGGGGAAGAGGTCCACAGAGGACCATCAGCACCACGGCGATGGAGCTGGCCAGAGGCCAGGCAGGTGCTCATTGAGACGACTGGAAAAGAGTCAAGGGTGAACTACTGGTAAGGTCACAGCTCAGTTCAGTCACTCAGTCGTGTCCAAATCTTTGCGACCCCAAGGACACCAGGCTTCCCTGTCCATCACCAGTTCCCAGAGCTTGCTCAAACTCACATCCATCGAGTCGGTGATGCCAGACACCAGCCAAATGACTGTTAACTGTAGGCAAAAGAAAAATCTGTGCAGGCAAGGGAAGCGTAATCACAGTTCACTGACAGGCTCAGCTGGGGAACAAATTCACATCAGGAGAAAACCAAGAGTGCTTATCCAATCTGAATTGCATAGTTCTGGAAAGCCAGGGGATGGGCAAGGGGGGTGTGTGTGTGTGGGAGACCCAACTCCTCACTCCTGCAGAGCCAAGGGACAGCATCTAAACTGGGCAGCTGAGAAGCAACAATAAAAGGATACTATTAGGCAACAAGGAGACAGATAGTGACAGGCAGCTAAAACAAAGGAGATGTGTCTGCAGGTGGTAACTGCTGTTTTTCCAAAGCACAGCCTATAAGTCTACTGGAGCCTGAAGGTCTTGTGTGTGTATAAGTGAAGAAAATGAAGATACAGGAAAGGAGAAATCGTGTTATCTTTCATTTTTTTGAGATTTAGATATATATATTTAAATAACATATACATACTTTGATATTACTTGTCCACTGAGTGTACATATTTTAACAAAGGATAAGAAATCTGGGCTTCCTTGGTAAAGAATCCACCCGCCAGTGTGAGACATGTGGGTTCAGTCCCTGCCAGGAACACCCCACAGCCCAAAGAGCAGCTAAGCCCATGCACACAACTGCTCAGCCTGTGTTCTAGAGCCCAGGAGCCACAACTACGAGCCCATTTGCAACCACTACTGAAGCCCAGGAAACAAGTGCTCTGAAACAAGGGAAGCCTCTGCAATAAGAAGCCTGTGGAGTGCAGTTACAGAGTATCCCCTGCTCACCACAACGAGAGAAAAGTCTGTGCAGCAGTGAAGACCCAGCACGGCCAAAAAAAGTCTATACAATCCCATGAAGCGCACATGAGATTAAGGTGTACTTACTACATCAAAAGTGGGTGTTTGTAAGTTACAGGTATTTAGTACTTTCCAGAGTATTCTTTTAATTAAAAAATATTTTAACACCTTTTCAAACATCAGTTCATTTTCCCAGTGCAAGAGAAGGCTGTTCACGTCAGCTTTGCAGTTGCTGTTCTCTCTACATCAGGTTCGACTCTTTTCCACCCCACGAACTGCAGCACGCCAGGCTTCCCTGTCCTTCACTACCTCTTGGATATTGCTCAAACTCATATCCATTGAGTCGGTGATGCCATCCAACCATCTCATCCTCTGTCTCACCCTTCTCTTCTTGCCCTCAATTTTTCTCAGCATCAGTGAGTCAGCTCTTTGCATCAGGTGGCCAAAGGACTGGAGCTTCAGCTTCAGCATCAGTCCTCCCAATGAACATTCGGGGTTGATTTCCTTTAGGATGGACTGGTTTGATCTCCTTGCAGTCCAAGGGACTCCCAAGAGTCTTCTCCAGCACCACAGTTCCAAAGCATCAATTCTTCAGTGCTCAGCCTTTTTTATGGTCCAACTCTCACTTCCGCACATGACTACTGGGAAAAACCATAGCTTTGACTATACAGACCTTTATCCATAAAGTGATGTCTCTGCATTTTTCTTTTTGTCTCTGCTTTTTAAGATGCTGTCTAGGTTTGTCATAGCTACCATATCAATAAACTCTACTTAACATGTGTCTTATCTCAAGAGTATACAAAAAGGATTTGAATCGCTGTAAATATTGATAAGCAGATCTGACTTTCTGGGTTCTTTGTTTTGTTTTAAAATATTCAAAAAATAAAAAAACTAAAATATTCATGTATTTATTTTCATTTTTGGCTGCATTGGGTCCTAGTTGCCCCACAGCATGTGAGATCTGAGTTTCCTGACCAGGGATTGAACCCACGTCTCCTGCATTGGAAAGTGGATGCTTAACCACTGGACCACCAAGGAAGCCCCCTGACTTTCGGTTTCATGGGCATGTTGAGACGTTTGGTCTGAAGCAGCGAGGTGGGCTGAGTGTCCCCTCACCCCATCCCCTCCAGATCCTTCCTGACCACAGGGGTCCCCACTGTGGTGCACCCAGGAATAGGCCCTGCCCAGTGGAAGGTCCCTGAGAAGTACACCCCAAAAAGGCTTCCTAGAGCAGAGCTCTGATATCAAGATCCTGAAGGTAAACAAGGAAAAAGGTCGTCACGGTAAACAAACTTCCCTGGAAGGAACCTGAGGAATTAATTTCATGCCAGAGATGCACAACCTTCTGAGAAGGTGCCGAGCAGAAGGGGATCAGCACCAGCACCCCCAACTCAGCTACTGCAGTGCCCCCAACAAAGACCCACCATAGACCGCTTCAAAGGGACCACAGTGAGAGCAGCGGCCACAGGAGCTTGACAGAGACCGTCCTGACACCCGGTACTGTGCCAGGGCCTTGCTACGCGGTCTGGTCATCCGACTCCCGAACAAGAGAAGCCCTCATCAAAGCTCTGGCTGGGCAGGTCACACAACTGCTTCTGGCACTTCCCTCCCAGGAGCCTCAAGTGCCTCTCCCAGGACACGCAAGAACCTGGTCACGGTGGAGGCTGGGGTGGGGCCAGGGAGAACAGTGAGTTTTCCCTGTTGACTCCTTTGGACTGACTGTAATTTTACCATGTGCAGGCAGAACTGAAAACAGAAAAGCTGAAAACACTGTGAGTTCACAGGCACATTACAAGTGTGGTCCAGGGAGGGTGGGGCCCCTGTGGTCACAGAGCTGGCGATGCCCTTGGGCCGCCCCGCCCGGCCCGATGTCAGTGAGCCAGGCTGGATGCGAGCATAAAGGGAAGCTGAGCGGAATCTCGGGCTATTACCCCGGCCGGTCCAGGGGCTTTCTCTCTCACTTTCCGGTCAGCTGCCCTTGGCCTTGGAAGCCGAGCTGGGTGGTTATTGATTAAGCCCGGCTCTCAGCAAGGTTTTCCTCTCCAAAGAGGTTTCAGCTTTTTGCCTGCAGCTATTTTTAGGGGCCTGGGCTCCGCGGTTGGGGCCTCTCTCAACTGATGCTGTGTGGCCGGGTGTCGGTGGGGCCCACGTGCTGCCTGCTCAGAGCCCAGGCAGGGTCCTCCTGGGGGCAGGGGGCTGCTCTCCCAGTGGTGGGGAGCACGAGGCTGGCTCACATTGTGGCTGGCATGACCCCCAAGCCTGTTCATGCAGGGATGCTCTGCCTGTTTGGGGACAAAGGGGTAAATTCTGGGCGCAGACCTCTAGTTAAACCTTGCTCCCTTTTCAAATGCAAATTTCCATTGGGTCACTACCACCTCAGTGCACGGTGGCTTGGCAGGGCTGGAAGGAAAGGCTGAGAATAGGATGGCCAGACAGCAAACTCGAATTACCCCTACTTCAATCAGGCCCAGGGCCAGCCACACAGAGTCCATGTGTTCCCTGGGTGACCCACCGGGCTGATGACACCAGGGTCACGTCTGAGCCTCTGGACGGCCCCGAGGGGGTGGTACCACGTCTGGGAGATGCAGGAGCCGGGGATGCAGGAGGGGTTGACAGGGACCTACCTCAAAGCGGATGGCCCCGTTCCCATCGGCGTCGAAGGCGTTGAAGAGGAAGTGTGCGTAGGTGGTGGCATCTAGGGAGACCAAGCGCGAGGCTGGGAGTGTCCAGGCCGCCCGGCTGCCCATGTCCCAACCCCAGGCTGCTCCACTGGGCATTCCCACTGTGTCCTGGGCTGGAGTGCCCCTTTCCTACTGGATGGAGGCAGCACCAGGCAAGGAATGGTGGGAAGGATGTGGGGGGCTGAGGGTCCCCTCCCTATAAAAGGGAAGCCCACACTCTGGGGGGCAGCCACAGGGAAGCGGGGACTTCGGGAGGAACCATGGGCCTTGGACTCACCTCCCTGAGGGAAGAACTGTGAGTAAATGAGTTTGAACGTGTCTTCGTCCACCAGGCCTGTGGGGCACTCCTGCAGTAGGAGGGGACTCCTCTCAGTGACCCCAGCCACCCTGCCCTGCACCCCGACTCCAGGGGGCCTGACCTCTCTCTTCCCTCTGGCCGATGCCTGCTGTGCAAGGCACTGCTGGGCTCCCCTGCCTGGGGCAGGGGAAAGCCCAATGGAGTGGGCATCATGGGAAGGGTAGGTGGGAGGGGGTGGCAGGACCCCTCACGCTAGGTTGGTCTGTCCCCATGTTCCTCCATTGCACCAGTACTGAGACACTCATAAAGGTAGTGCCTTCAGAACAGTGATTCTGGGCCCTGGCCCTCCCCCCAGACAGCTGTCCCACAAAACATGAGCCCCATAAAGACGCTGAGGTATGCACTGTGCCATGGGGAATTTCCCGAAGGTCTGCCAGCACCCTGGAGCCAGGAACAGGAGAGCTGGGGGATCAGGGCCAAGCCTGGAGGTGGGGGATGTGGGGCACTCACGTTCTTGAAGCCCCTGTAGAGACTCTGCAGCTCCTTCTTGGTGAACTTGGTCTGTGCCTGCAACTGGTCAAGCCCCTCTGGCTGGTGGCGCACTGCGGACAGCTCCAGCTCACTGTCGCTGCTATCTGGAGGGGGACACAGACCCAGGAGGGTGGAACATGTGGCCCTGCCCCCATCTCTCTCCAGTGTGGGTGCCAGGCTCCGGGTGGAAGTAGGGGTGGGGAGACTCTCCTTGTGCAACCGCCACGTTCGGCGGCCCAGGCTGTGCACTGCACAAATGGACCGGGCTGCAGCGTAACAGCACACTCAGTTCTGCCTCCTGGTCTCTCTGCTGCCCTGCTCCTCACACAAAATGGGCCCTCCCTGCTGGGCTCACCTGGAGCATGCCCACCCTCTCAGCCATGTGGTGGGATGGGGTGGGCGGTGGGAGTGAGTCTTGTACTGGAAAGGCACTAAAGAAGGGGAGGTGGAAAGGAAAAAGACAGAGACAAGTTACAGGGCACCTCGACCTTTAAGACCCAACTCCTGGACCACCTCCTCCATGCAGCCCTCCCTGATTTCCCCCAGGAATGCGAAGGGCACCCCTCTTGCTCATCACACTGCTGCCTGGCTGCATTTCATGTCTGGGCTTAATTCACATTTGAGTAGAAAGTCACATTTCAAGTTCTCTGTCTGTAGGGTAGGGACCAGATCTTTTATTTAATCACAACACATCAAACAGGACAGCAGGGTCACATGGACATGGATTAGAAAGAAGAAACCCAAACTATCCCTATTTACAGATGACATAATTATCCATGCAGACAGTTTCAAAGAACATACCAAAAAATCCTCTAATAAATGAGCTTAGCAAGGTTACAGGATACCAAGTCAATACAAAAATCAATCACAGTTCTATAGAAAACCTGTATGCAGCAACAAAGACCCAGTATAGCCAAAAATAAATAAATATATAATTTCAAATAATGGTCCATATGAAAAAAAATCAGTTACATGTCTACTGATCAACAATGTACCATTGGAAACCAAAATTCTAAAAACTTGTTATATTAATTACAATCACCCATCTCATAAGTGAAGTAGGGAAAATAGATAAAAATATAAAAAATATAAATAATGAAATATAAAATATTAAATGATAATAATAAACAATAAAAATGATAATATAAAATGCAAAAATAGGTAAAACAATATAACAAAACATGCACATAATCTATATATTGAAAACTACGAAATGCCAATAAAAGAAATCACAGAAGATTTAAATAAGTAATGAGACACACTGTGTTCATGGATTTAAAGACTCAATTATAAAGATGTCAGTTATCTTCAAAATGATTTAAAGATTGAACATAATTCCAGTAAAAATCCCAGGACAATTTTTTGTTGTTGATATAGACACAGTGATTCTGAAACTTATGTGGAAAGGCAAAATAAATAGATTAGATAAAAGAAAAAAAGTGGTAGAAATCAGTCTACCTGGTTTCAAGACATTATACAGCTATAATAATGAAGAAAGTGTGGTGTTGGAAAAAAGACAGACACACAGATCAGTGAAGCAAAATGGGGAACCCAGAAACACATCCACATAAATATGACTGAGATGACTTTTCACAAATGTGCAAAAGCAATCAATGGAAAAAGTTTAATTTTTTTCAACAAATGGTGCTAGAAAAATTGGACATCCATGTACTCAAAAAATGAACTTTGACCTAAATCTTATTTCTTATACAAAAATTAACTCAAAATGGAGCATACATTTTAAAAAGTCAGATGTAAAACTAAAAAACTTTTAGAAAAAAAATAGGAGAAAGTCTTTATGGCCTGGATTTAGCAAAGAGTTCTTAGACATGGCACCAAAAGGCACTTATAAAAGAAAACTTTGAAAAACTGTACTTCTTAATAAGAAAAGTTTTGCTCTGTAAGAGACACTGATAAATAGAAAGGGAAACTACAGATCTGCAAATCAAACTTCTAACAAAGGATGTTCAGAATATATAAAGAACTCTCAAAATTTATCAGTAAGAAAAAGTACAACTCAAATTAATATCAATAAATGGGTTAAAAAAAAACCTGATCAAACACTTCACCATAGAGGATATACAGATGGCAAATAAGCATGAGAAAGATGTTTAACACTATATTCAATTAAAGAAGTACAAATTAAAGCCACGATGAAACACCACTGCACACCAGTAAGAATCATGTGCTAAGTCGCTTCAGTCGTGTGATAACCCGCCAGGCCCCTCTGTCCATGGGACTCTCCAGGCAAGAACACTGGAGTGGTTGCCTTGCCCTCCTCCAGGGGATCTTCCCGACCCAGGGACTGGACCCGTGACTCTTAGGTCTCCTGCATTGGCGGGTGGGTTCTTTCACTGAAAATACGGAAAACAAAGCTCCATTGACCCTACTTTCCTCTCAAGCCGTTGCTTTTCTCTCTCCTTTACCATCTTCACCTCCTCTCCGCTTGGTCTCCCTTGGTCTTACTTCTGCGGGGCCTGTGCCCCGCCACTGCAAGCAAACTGCTTTTCTTAGATCGCCAGTGATCTCCGAATTGCTGGTCCAGTGACCAGTACAGTCATCTAGACTCCTCAGTCACACAAGGACAGTGTGAGAACGAAAAGCACAGTGGCCACACGGGTGAACCGAGGACATCATGCTAAGCGAAGAAGTCTAAGAGACAAATGCTGCATGATCTCAGTTATATGTGGAACCTAAAAAAGCCACACTCAAGGAAACTGAGCGCAGGCTGGCGGTTGCCAGGAAGCAGAGGGCAGGGGTGGAGAGATGTTGGTCGAAGGGTACCAGCTTCCGAGTGTAAGACGAATAAGTTCTGGGGAATCTAAGCTACGATACGGCGACTATAGTTAGCAATACTGTACTGTACCCTTGAAAGTTGCTAAGGGATAGATCTTTTAAAATTATTTTTTAAATTAAGTAATTAAGTAACTATTGGCTGCATTGCATCTTAGTTTCAGCGTGGGTTCCAGAGCTCATGGGCTTCAGTAGTTGCAATGCATAGACTTAGTTGTTCCGAAAGGCATGTGGGATCTTAGTTCCCCGACCAGGGATCGAACCTGTGTCCCCTGCATTGCAAGCTGGATTCTTAACCACTGGGGAGTAGTTCTCCAATGTTCTCACCACCACCACCACAAAAAAAAAAAAAAAAAAAAGGTAATTATGTGAGGTGATGGATGCATCAGCTAACTTTATTGTGGGTGATCTTTACATAAGCTTACACAATGTTAGGTGTTAATTATGGCTTAATACAGCTGGAAAAACAAATGAACAAAAAGAAAATTATGTGCCCATTTCACTTTTGAACATAGATGCAAAATCTTAAACCACATTAGGTAAATTAATCCAACTGAAATTACAAAAAAAAAAGTACACCAGGATCAACAAGGTTTTATCTGTAAGAGTGTAAGGAGAGAAAATCATATGAAAATCCTAATACAGAAAAAGCATTTGATAAACATCCACATCTATTTATAATTAAAATAAACAAGCAAAAACTCAGCTAACTAGGAACTCTATAAGGGAACTTTATAAACTTGACGTGGCTTTTATTTGTAAAACAAATATTTCTTTACAGAAAGTACTAGCTTTAATGGCAAAGGGTCACACACATTTTCTTTAAGATTTGGGACAAGCCAAGGTTGGCCACAGTTACCACTAACTGATGTCTGGCCAATACTCTAAGGAAATTTTGAAAAAGGAAAAAAACAAACAGAAAAACCCCAAACAGTGTAAGAGTTGGGAAGCATAAGATAAAATTAACACTATTTATAGATGACATGGTCCCTACAGGGACCAAAAGAATCAATATACATGAGAGTTCAGTGTAGGTTGTCAGATGTGAGATTAATTTATGAAAATCAATAGCAATTTTCTACACCAGTAATAACCACCTAGAAAATACAATAAAAATAACATTCATAATAGAAATAAAAACTAAAAAGTATTGAAGTATTAACTAAAACTCAAAGAACCTCTATAAAGAAAGCTAATCTGAATAAATAAGACATTCCATCTTAGATATGATTATAATTACATTATAAAGATGCTATTTCTCCTGTGATAAATTATAAATTCAACAGCATCTCAATCAAAAATCCAGTTGAATTTTTGAGGACTTTGATAAATTTACTCTGAAATGTATAATAAAGAATTTAAAAATCAATAAGAATCTAGAAAGGAAGAGTAAAGAGAGAGTTTTCCCTATTATATACTAAAACATTTATAATCACTGTAATAAAAATTGTGTGCCTGGTACAAGAACAGACAGACACACTAGCAAACAGACCAGAAAGCTCAAAGAGAGGCTGAGGCATAGCGGGCCCTTCCCAGAAGCTTTGGGGAAAGGCCAGCTGTTCAGTATAATAGACGGCGTTAGGAAAACTGACTCATCATATAAAGAAAATAAATCATCATATAAAGAAAATAAATACCACGTGCAAAAGTGAGCTCCAGATTAACTAAAGATAAAACGTGAAAAGTGAGCTCTAGAGTAAAAATAAAATGTAGGACTTTCCTGGTGGTCTAGTGGTTAAGAATCTGCCTGCCAATGCAGGGGACATGCGTTTGATCCCTGGTCTGGGAAGATCCCACATGCCACATGCCATGGAGCAACTCGGCCTGCATGCCACAGCTACTGAGCTGAAGCTCTAGAGCCTGCAAGTTCCAACAGGAGAGCAGCCCTTGCGTGCTGCAACTAGAGAAGCCCGCTTCCAGCAAGAAAGACCCAGTGCAGCCAAAAATAAATAAATAAATAAATAAATAAAAATAAAATGTAAAACAGTATCTTGCCAACCTAAAGGTGGGGATCTTAAAACTTCAAACCAGAAAGGACAAAAACTGATGAACTCCATCACATCAAAGGACTTCTGTTCAACAAAGGGCACCATGACCAGTGAGGAATGCTTGACACAATGGGAGGAAACAGCAGGCAATATTTACAGCCAATGAAAGAAGAATGTCTAGAACTGATAAACATCGGAAAAGGAAACCAGAGAAATGAATAAGGACATGAAAGACGGCACAACCTCCTCAACGAACAGGAAATGAAAATTACGATGAGAAGACACCTTCTGATTGACAAGAAACAATAATAATGAAATAAGAA